GTGACAATAAATATGATGTTTTAAGTAGTTTTTAAGGTTTATTTTGAAATAAAGGATTTAAAACTTGGATAAAATAAAACTTCGAATGATAACATACATTATAATGTTAATTTCGTTCATATACATTGATATTAAAGGTGTTTAAATTTTGAATGTAACAAAGTGAGTCATGCAGAAAAGCATTTATAGGGGCACCCGTTGCAAAAGGGTTAAAAGGATTAAAAACATCTGAAAAAATCACAAGATTGAATTGCACATCGTACTTGTCCAACAGCTGCACCAGCACTGCCTGTTCCATCTACTATACCAGTGACTGTAGCCAAAGCTTCTTTATTTCCACTTAACTTTTTCTGTTTGCCAAGATCTGCAGCAATGGCTGTGCTGATCAGGTTTGCCGCTCCAGAAATAAAAAACCCAGAAATACTCATCAGGAAGGCATTTGTTAATTTATCTGGACCTGAAACTAAAAAATAGGCAACATATATCATTAATAAGAATGTTAAAGTGTACTTCTTAAAGAATATTTGAATAATAAGAATGAAAAAAGCTTACACTCTGAGTAGGGCCTTGTGTTTTCAATTTTTACCAAAAAAAATTCTAGGTTTTCCAAAATGTATTATTTGTGGGGTTTTTTTTTCCCACATTTCATACTACTTTTCTCTATCATTCAAATATATAAAAAATAACTTTTATTATTAGCAAAATACAACACATTAAATGAGATCATTATATAAAGATAATATATTAGTCTGCGTGTATATGCAAAGCTGCCTGTTGAAGTATGGCTATATATTAGAAGATTTGGGTTTGTTCTGAATTTCACACAAAGCTACACGAGGGCTATCTGCACTAGCTGTCCCTAATTTAGCAGTGAAAGACTAGTGGGAAAGCAGCTAGTCAGCACTGCCCACTGCCAACTCTTGGGCTACTCGTTTACCAACAAATAGTGGGATTGACCATCACATCATAATGGCCACACGGCTGAAAGGGCTGGTGGGAATTGGGATTTGAACCCACAGATTGCGAGTCGAATGCCATAACCACCTGGCAAAGTTTAGAAGAAACACACAATAAACAAACAGGCACACATGGAAGCTTTAAGTGGATGCACATCTGAATGTACTAACGAATCTCAAGCCCACCATACACACTTACACCCAACACATTTGCATTTGACAATACTGGGCCCAATTATTAAGCCTAAATGTAAATATTTATAGACTAATAATTCCAAGTCAACAACAATAAACTGTTTATTCAAATAAAAAGTTTTATTTGGGGATTAGAGAAATATTGTTTTCTTATAATCAGAGGTGTCATTGTGTTTCAAGTTCTTTATTAGTTCTGCAGCAAACTGTTGTTTTAGTAATAAACACAGATACATTTCCTGGAAAGATTAAATAAAATAATAATCAAAAACACCGGGACCTGATGAAGAGGCCATAAAGACCTGGAACATATGAATAAGGAGAATTAGAAAACCTTACTTCTTGTGGCCTTGAGGAATTGGAATACTTTTTGTAGCCTTAAACAGCTGGAATATATCGATAATAAAAATGAGAAAAGCTTACTTCTTGATACCTTAAAGAGCTGAAATATATGAATATTAAGAATATGAAAAGTTTACTTTTTGAGGACTTAAACAGTTGAAATATAAGAGGAATGGACTGGTAATATAAAGCTGCTCTTACAGCACAATTAGAACATTAGAAAAACAGCTAAAGAATAATGAATACCACTTTTAAAAGAAAATTTAAGGATAAAGTTAGTTCATACTAAGCCTAATATAAGCATCATTAGGTTAGATATTTTACAAAATACATTATATTGCACTTTGTGCAGTATATTTAAGACATTCAGTTCTGCTAGGCCATAAGACGTTACAACAATAACAGCTCAATGACTTAGATGTGTATTGAGGTACAATTTCAAGTATTAACAACACAAAATTTAAACAGAGGTTCTAGAAGTGGCCAACATCTAGCTTTGTATCTCAAGACTTGCATTTTTCTAAGTTCGTTCTCACCTCTGTAAAGGAAGAGTGATACTGGAGAAAGAAGTAACATAATCCCCATTATAGGTGAACGAACTCCAATTTTGTCCTGGTTTGAAAGAAATACAACTAGGTTACAAAATACATCAACATAGTCATGAAACTGATTTGCCTTACAGTTATCTCTTACGATGTCAAAAAATAAAAAACATAAAACGAAAATTACGATTGAATAACCCATAAGTTAAAATATTTTGAGCTGTTCTAATATATAAATAAAAATCAGTTAAAAAGGAAGGTGTATTTTTCACTATGTCTTATATTAACGGTTTTCACTCAGTCACAGTTACAATAGGAAGAAATACTGTCTTTTCTTTTTTTGTGTGTATTTCTTAAATATGTTCTATTTTAAATGTTTTACACTCATTTAACTCTTTCCATGCGAATGGGTCAAAATGGGCATGTCACAACCTTCTACAGTTTCTTCGAAAATTAATTAAACAACTATTATCCATGTATGGCAATAAACTTGGCATCCAACCATTGTTTGTAATCCACATTTTTTTATTATCTGAGC